TCGAGCCAAATCCAGTTAGCCCATCGACAATAAGCAAATAAAGACTTTCATAAAAATTCTCGTAGAATCGTACCGGTTCATTCACCCTTGGCTGGTTTTGTGACCTTTGGTTTGCCCTTTTTGGGCTTCATGAAGCAAAAACATGAACAACATGGACACTGGAATAAGAATTTCATGGCTCTCACTTGTGTTTCTCACTCCTCAAATGGTTCTGATAACCAGTATGTATAGGAAAGTAATGCTTTTAAAAGTGCCTTTTATTTTACTGTTTATCCTATTTTAAAAGTAACAATTATGTGACTTTTATCATGGAATTCCCACACATGGAAACAAAACAGCTCTATGAATGGCCGATTGTTGGGATGATAATAATGAACATGGGACATGTTTGGCTTGCCATAAAATGCAAGGAAACATTACATTTAAGACTTTCAGTTTTCAAATAAGTTCAGCCAAACACACTCTTGAAATGGCACCTTCTAGTAGGCTTATCGTTTATGACCAACTGTAGGGGCCACTCAAACCAGTGCAATTTGTCTCACTTGAAAGATTTCTAGGCTGGCAAGCAATAAGGAATGAGGTTTATGGCTAATGGTTGAAAAATGTGACTATTACATGTACTAGATGGGTCCAACAAGGAGACAAAACAAGATTATTGCATGTTCTAGATCGCTGTTCTAATTTCGTACCAGTATTCCCCATGTACAGAAATTATTTTCATAGAGGCTCACCAGAATACTCACACGAGTGAGGCCCCACCTTGTATTAAAAAAATACATGCACGGAGCCCACTTATGTGAGTATTATGTGGAAATTGCTCCTGTACATGAAGCATAATTGAATTTTGTATATGGAGAAGTTGAAGAGGTGAGAAAAATATTGTATTGAGTGATTTTTCTCAATTAATAATGTCTCATCTATTGTGGTTGTCGACTTATTGTCAAACGAAGTTCAATTTTTATTCTCTTTTTTGGCTCGTTTTGTGTTACGTATCTCCATTGAATTTGGAGTGGATTAATTTTTCCCAATAGGCATGGGTCCGACAAGTCACATGTCATGACCTATTTTTTTTCATTTCTAACACCCAATGAACGCTTTAAAAACATTTACGGGACAAACGTTTGACATGACGTGTTGTGTCCTATATTAAAAAGTTCAAAAATAAAGGTATAATATATAAAATTTAGATTTTAAAGAATTATAATGAACGTGTCCATGTTCTACTTTTTAAAAAAAATCATATTTCGCCCCCATCCATGTCTTAGTCGGTATAACTTAGCCTATAATACAACACCCTTAACATTGGCAATATCACTCATTTCCTTCATTTTTCTTTTGTCAATGTCAAGCTAATGAAAGAGCAAAAATCGAAAGAGCCACTTGCCCAAAATGTGAAAGGTTGTAGCAGTAAATGCCCTCCAAATTATTCAAGTTGTTATGACATTACTTACCTGGAAATTTTATTACGAAGCCACAATCTTCTCCCTTTCTTTGTCTGCAGGCCCATGATCAACTGATAATTGTTTTGCCACACCATTCTTGGAAACTAGTCGTGCTCGGCTTAAGCCTTTAGCTAGAACAGCAGATTCATGAGCAAGATCTCCAACATTTGAACCCTCTTGTGCAAAGAGACCAAGCTTGTTTTCGCCAACTTGTGCAGAACATAATCTTCCAAGCTATGACCCGATTTTTTTCGACCAAATGATGTCCACTCTTCGACATCTTACCCTTTCATTTTTCCTGTGTCGAATGCAGGTGGACCTAAACCCACCTTTTCCTGCAAAATAAACGGTCGCAAGTCTTTAGAAAAATTACTTGCTCATCTCATACACTGGGATGTAGACTGATAAACTCTCACCATTGACCAGATTGGGAGTCTAGTATCAAAGTCCGATCTACTTGGTAGACGCTCAACAGACAACGGGCGAATAATGTTTGAAAAAATGTGAACATCCGGACCCATTAGTGCGTGAAAATTCTTGAGTTGATTTCTTTAATTTTCTACAAGTTTATTTTTAGTATTTTGGGGTTAAAACATTGATTTGGAACCATCTCTTCAGGGATCAAGGGCACGTAACTTCATGTGACTTTGTCAATGAACTAAAACTCCCCTCTATTTATACACTCTTCTACGAGCTTAAGGACGCATAACCTCTATATGTGACTTTGTCAGTGAACTGAAACTCCCCTCTATTTATTCATTCTTCTACGAGCTTGAGGACACATAACCTTATATGTGACTTTGTCAGTGAACTGAAACTCCCCTCTATTTATTCATTCTTCTACGAGCTTAAGGACAAATAACCTTATATGTAACTTTGTCAATGAACTAAAACTCCACTCTGTAAGCAAAAAATAAAATACAGCAAAGGAAATAAAAGAAGAGGAAGATGAAAAAAAATTCGAAGAAGACTTGAACACGAAAATATATCGTTGTCCTCAAACGATATATGCCTTATCTCATTATGCTTTTAAGGATTGAAAAATGGCAAATAGTTTGTAGGGTTTATGAAGCCTTAATGAAGAACGCCAAGAGCTAAGTGTATCTTCAAATGAACAAGTGAAAAAACAAAAATTTGATTATGTGAAGAATAGAATTTCTTCAAAATTTGGATGAATAATAGAATGGGTTCTCACATTTTTTGGGATTAACACCAATATGTATTTATAGATTTCAATCATCCCTACAATAAATGATTCAAACTCATAAAGAAAAAGGTACAATATTTCACCAAGAAAACCACCAAAAAATTCAAAAAAAATTAAAATCAGCTAACAGTCGAATTTTTATAACTATGCGACTGCATAGGCTATAACTATGCGATCGCATAGTTATAACCTTGGCTGCCTCTGAATTCTTTGATCGCGCCTATGCATCCGCATGCAAAAAATTCCTATGCAGCCGCATGGGCCAATTTATGACATCAATTTTCTCTTTTCATGCATCCACGATTCATCCATCCATGATTTTGAACAAGAAGATTCCAACACCCTCTATTTATGCATTCTTCACGAGCTTTTCTAAGAGAACATTGGTTACATAATAACACCACTTTGAGAAGAACTTAAAAATTGTGTCATGGGCTTGCAAGGTTCAGCAGATTAAGATCTTCATAGAACATATCAGTATTTGAAATCAGGATCATGATGCATGTAATCCTACATGTACCGAATTTTTTACCTACTACTCACAATGGGGATGTGGATCACATTGTCAAAATTTTTAAATGCACGTAGGCCCCGTGCATTATGTGAGAGGGGGTAATCCAGTATGTACAAACTATTATGTACAAATGAATTAACCCTTGAAATTAAATGCCATTGCTGTAATCTAGAATTTGGCAAAAACTGTATTCATTATAGCTAAAATGACTTCATCGCAGGCAGAGGACACTGTCCTATGTTCATTGTTCACCCGATTGATCTCACAAATCCTTGCTTCCAAGGCAAGCATTTCTTGTAAGTGGCAAAACAGAAGCTTAAGCAAGTCGACTAAACTTGGAGAATATCACCCTTAATAATCATGACTAGAAAATAAATTAAAATCTATGTTCTTTCTTAAGCATAGAGTAATTGAATCTCTGGTGAAACTTCATTGACGTCTCCCCAGGTTTCCTATACCGATCCCTTAAAAAAGGTGACAATATATATAAGAAAGTCTTCAACATCGTAGAAAAAGATATTGGATGAAAACCCCGTGACATTTCTTGAACATCCTCTCTATATCCACTTTTCCTTTCCCAGGGAAAATAACAAGCCGAACTTGTAAGAAGGCCGTTAAATTTTTTAGAAATGCTTCGCCCAAGATTTGATTTGGTTCAGAACAACAAAGATGGCGTTCATTCAATCAAATCTTTTATGCCTGGTAATTGGTAAAGACAAGATAGACTTTGACAAGATGTGGCCTATTAATCCTACGGTATAGGTCTCTATCAACATTCCTTTCTATCAAATCGACCATAACCACTACCTACAAACTCTCCCCAGAGTAGGATTTGAACTTACGACCAGTCATTTAACAATGGACTGAGTACCCTTCAGTTAACACTCCCTTACGGTGCACTGGTAAATATTTTAGCTTGTGGCAATTAAGGCCAAACAAGATTGATTAATAGAGAAAAGAAGTGCTAGAAAAGAGTATGAAAGTAGCTATGGATGGGCCCAAAGACAATACGAGATAAAAATGGCCCCAAAGTTCCTACGTAGAGGTCCTAATTGGGAGACACTAAATTATCAAACACCTTAGTTGTCTCCATGTTTGGGGCTCAAAAAAAGTTGTGATCAAATTAAATAAGTCCCATTCACCTAAAGATGTTCTAAGCTCTTGCCTTTGCTTCCATAGACGAGGAAAGCAACGTTGAACTCATCATTACTTTGAGATATCCGATACATGTTCACACCATACAATTGCTGTTTATTTGGTAGGCTAGATTGGATAGTTAAAATTTGTACACAAACTCGTTCCTTCTCAAGACATTGAGAAACACAAAAGTTAAATTCTCAGTTCTTTATATAATTATATCCATCGCACATTGTCTAAGCTACGGTCTCGTGTCTAATGTGGTGTCCAATTTGAGATATATTGATAGCTGGACCTCACCAAATTCGGATGTCAACATCGCTAACTAACCATTGATGAAAAACAAAGAAAAAAGAAAAAAAGAATCATAATTTAAACACGCAATCTATGATTTACACACGTGCTCAACATTAGTTGCATGCTCCATGAATCATTAATATTCAACCCGACAATGGAGTTGGCATAATTTACTATACTAAACATGATGTAGACCACCAAAGCTTAATCAAAATGCCCAACAAAGGGTCCATTTTTATTTCTCCATGATCCTTTTTTTATGAAAATAAAGCTACCCATTATGATATAAATCAAACCCACACTTAGAGCTATTACAAACATTATACATTCTATCACAAATATCATGGAAAATCGAAGGCGAAACAATCGCTTGGGCGAAAAGTTTTTGTTTCCAATAATCGCAATGCAAGATTCGGATCCCGATGAATTTGAGTTTGGGTGTGTTACAAAACCAGGCCCTCCAAACTCTCCAGCTGATCACTTGTTCTTCAATGGCAAGCTTCTACCTCATGTTTTTCCACTAAACCGACCTGCGAATAATTTTTCCTATTCGAGATCCACGAGCAGCAAGGATTCTCTTATGTCATCGTGCAGTAATAGCACGGATAGTAGGAGCAGCAGCTGCAGCAGTGCTAGAACAAGTACAAGCGAGGCATCCGAAAGGAAAATCTTGAGTACTAGAGGAAAAGTTCCAGGGAAAAAACCTGTTTTGAATCCACAATACAACTATTGTTCTTCTCAAAGATGGCAATTTATCCGCCCGTCGCCTGTTTTGATGCACCAGGTTCAAGATCAAGATCAAGATCAGTAAAAGTTGAAGGCAAAGAGTTGAAATCAAGAAAAATGGAAAATGATAATAATAATTCTTTTCATGGAAAATCGTGGTTTGGCAAGAAAGTATTGATATCATTTGTTTCAGCATGTAAAAAATGCCATGACATAGAAACATCAACATAAATGAAATTTATTTGATTGCAATCATTCGATAATCGATGGATTGCAATCATTCGATAATCGATGGATTGCAATCATAATTTGATCACGGCGTTGACAAGAAACTAAGCATTATTCACAATAAATGTGGAGTCGACTCACCGAGACCAAAATCAATATAGATAAGTGTGTTTTACCTCGGTTTTCTTGTACAAGGATGACAAAATTAGGTGAGTCCAATTGCTTTTTTTCCCCTCCTTTTCTTGGTCTTCGATCACGTTTTAAATGATTTTATCCCTGGAATTGTATTAAAAAAAAAAGAAAAAGTTGTTAAAATTTTATCTCTAATTTTCATACTAAATACAAAATCGTACGAAGTACACGTATCAAACATGCTATTATGTAAAGATCAATTTCAAGGGTACTCTCTGGTATTGCTTAAATTCGAAAACAATAATCATCATATGAGAATTTGAGTTACTTCTCTTATTAAGGTGTAAGATTGATAAAATCCGTAGACTTTGCCTATCTTTGACTCATGTTTATAAACACTCGAGTCACTTCTTGGCCAAACAAATTTCGAGGAATACCCACTTGAGCCGTTTTTAAGTACTTGCCAAACATGCTCTAAACGGATCCATTTAAAATTGAAACAAGTTGAAGAATTTCAAGATTGATATTGTCAATCCAACCAGAACGTCAAGTCAATAATAAGCACCATTATTCAACAAAATTAGAACACACGCAATGATTTCTTTATCAAAATAATAGATTGAAATAGCCACTTGTCAATTGTCATGCCAAGCAGATGATGCAAAACTCAATTTTTACAAGTTTAGCCAAATTTGCCCAAGCAAGATGGGTGGAATCAATGAATAGAGACATTTTGTTGTCTGCATTTTCATGCCACAATAGTTGAATTACTGTGCAAAATAGAGGCTCCACTTAAACCTTATCATCATAGGATTATAGTATCAATATTTTTGACAACATGTCACGTGTCATGTTATCGTTGAACAATTTTAAAAATAATTTATCTTTCCAGCCAATACTTTTTTGACACCTACAATATCGTGAACAATGTTATCAAAAATATTGTACGAAAAACATTATCCTTGTGGGAAATCTAGAGAGAATCAAGTGAAAGAGGAGTCGGCATTAAACAAACCTAAAAGTAAATGTTAATGCCTGTTTTTAGGGTTGGCCAAACTTGGCTAAGGGTCCCACCTTTAGCCGCCCATTTGAGTGTGAAGAAAAGACTCACTTTTGGGCCTACAAGAAGTACAAGCAACAAGAAAAATACCTAAATTTAAAGAGGTAATAGAACGGATCATACTTTTACCACTAAACTATACTAAATGTCATCATTGTTGTGTCCGAAGAAGATGAGCAAAACAAATGAAACATGCCAAAAATAAACCAACCCCTTGGATTGTGACGAAAAACACATCGGATTTCTGCATCTAGTGTTTTGATTGAAAGAGGGAGGGAGACAATTCAAATGACACGCAAAAATCAAAAGAGTTGTGCTTTAAAGTCTAGTTTTTCTAAGATCCATTGCTTGATTTGCTGCATGCTCCGCTCCCAAAATGCTTAGTGTGTTGAACTTTTTCGTGAAGATCACAATTTTAAAAATCAAAAGCGAATAGGAAAAAATTGAATTACTACCAAAAATTTATGTCAAATGACTTCAATTACATTCCATAGTACCAAGTTTATGTTCTTGCAAAGAGGGAATGGTTTCCCAATTTCAAATTTGCAAGTATGGAAGATTGACCATTCACATAGCACAAGTTCTAGCAAGGAAATTCCCAAAGATGCAATTCACTTGACCATCTAATGCTCAAGTAAGTGCTTTCATCGAAGTTCAAATATTAAAGAAATGTTCGGTATACTGAATTTAAAACTACTGAACGAGACAACAAACAAACATCTCATGACAGAAAAACCTCTCTTCATAGTGAATGTGTTTTCCTAATTACAACTTTTGATCAATCTTCATCCATCCAAACAAGCCTTCTAAACTCACTCCAAGAAAGTTTCCATAACATCGGAGTACATCCCTGCTTCATTCCTATACTCCTCTGGATTTTCTGCGTGATGATCAAGTGAAGTTGAAGAAGTAGCCATTCTTGCAGGTAAAGTAAAGCTCCCCTCGAAGTTGTTATCCACATTTGGATGATTATCCAAGCTCAAGAACTCGTTGAGATTCGTATTATCATTGTTATGCAAACTCAAGGAATCCGAGTTTGGGTTCTGATGGTCATGCTTGTTTCCAAAGCCCTCGGGATTGAACAAAAGTTTATCTTCATCTGTTTGTCCAACAATTGCATTGAAGAAAGTCAATCCATTTGGCCACTTGATATCGTCTTCATGATCACGCCTCGTATCAGACGAATGAGGGAGTAAAAAGGGTTCATCTCCAGAAGATGGAATTCCATCCCTAGCCGTCTTTTGAAAATTTGGAGACGTTAGCATTGAAACTGCTGGAGAGATTGGCCTTTGGCCCAAGTTAAATATGGGAGGAGGAGGGCGAATCGGCATAACTGGTTGCTCTAACGGGACCATGGATGAAGACGAGGAATTACGCGTAGAAGAAAATAACTGGGATAGGTAAAATCCAGATTGATAGCCTAAGGATTCAAAAGTACGCCTCATTCTTAGCACAAAATGGAGATCTTCAGGTATCTAAAAATGATTTAATAGGGAACAAAAAAAACATTCTGTCAATGAGAAAATTGTGTTACCACTTTTGCTTTAGATTTTCTAAAGAACATAAAAATTACAAAGCTGAAAAAAAAAATTATAAGTTCACTCACAATATTGCAGGAACCAAGTTGCAGTAGGCCATGTCCAGCTTGAATAACAGCTATAGTCTGTCAAAATCATGTCAAAGGGCACACAGACTAAGCAAGAAATGAAAAAAGAAAAACGCGGTATTACTAGATAACATAATGAACAAGATTTTAACTTATTTTTCTTCTTTAATACCGTCCCGTCCTATCCAATATAAGAATGAAAACAGTTCTGAACCATTGATTCTGACCTGAATGCCACACTCAAACTGCTCAATCCACTCAGTTGGAAGCTGCAATTAATGAATTAATGGACCATTCATCAACAGTTAGTTCTATCAGATCAATAATTGGGACAGTCAATGCCCAACTTCCTAATTAGGCCCAAAATCAATTATTTTGCTGCATAATCAAATAAGCAATTATGAAAAAGATGGGATATAACACATACTGCATCAAATGAACTCTGCAAGTAGTTGGAGATATTTGGTTCACATTCAGTTGGCTCTTTGAATACCCATTTATGACACTTATCAGAAGCAACTTTCCCCATCAATCTGCACTCATAAACCCACATATAAAAACACAATTTTTGCCTAAATTCAATCTTTTTGGGGGCTTGTGGAGAACAAGACAGAAAAAAATCAAACAAAAGGACCTACCGAGTACCCACCCTTCTCCATAATTATACAACTGAATAGACATTTTGCTGAAGGCTTTTCTGACAGGATCCTCTCCATCCATTTCATTCAAACACTCTGTAACTCTGTTTCTGCAAAACCCATCTTCCCACATCAACATCCTGCACCAAAACAAGAAAATACAGTAAACTATTAACAGAAACTCAATGAAAAATCTATCTTTTTGGCTCCCCTGAAATTGAACTCATTAACACTTACAAGCTACCATTGTCATCTCCAAGTTTGCAGCCGTTACCACCTCTAACTCTCCTGCAAGAAATGCAAAAGACCCAACAAAGAATTAGCATAAAAATCAAGAAAATCGAAGTGCATAAACTATAAATCAGATTAAAAAGTGGAAAAATATACGGGCGAGGTCGAATGGTCCAAAAAACAGAGTAAGTCCAGTCTGAATTTAAACAGATGGTTCTGAGGGAGTCATGAAGGGCCATCATCCCTACTGCTTCTTTGCTTCTGTCTGTTGCTCCTGAGCCAACCATGGCTTCTCTCAGTAGTTTTCTTGGAAATTTAAAGGAATTATTTTAACTAATTTTGTTGTGTATTAGCTTTAACAAAGCATAGCGAAGAACACTTAAAAAATATCAACCATAGGAGAGGAGAGGCGCAAGGAGACTCTCTTTTCCTCACTTTGTTACCACTTTTTCTCTTTACCTTTTACCTTCTTCACTTGTCAGATTACCAAACCTGATTAAATGGGGACATAAGAAAAGAGAAGTCCATTACTTCCAGTCTATAAGTAGATGGAGGGCCCACATTCTTGCTAGGGTAACAATCTATAGAGATTGAGAGAGGTAACCTCATGGCAAAGGTAACATTCTGTAGTTATAATCTACTATAGAAGTTTCACAGGCGAGAATATAAAGAGCGGAACAGTCGAATTATCCAACTCTTGTAACTCTTTGTTTCTCTTTTAAATGTAGATTTTAACTCCGATAATAATGCATAGTTGATGGTTTCAATACAAAGGTTACCATTCAAATGCAAATTAGGACTGACTTTCAACATATAAAAATGGAATAATTTATAATAAAAGTTGTACAAATCATATATATATTTTACTAGAAAATTTTGAGATACGAGCACAAATTTTTTATTTGAGCAAGCCTGCTTCACGGCTAAGACACTATACGAGAATTGTGAAGTTCTTTACTCAAACGGCGAAGAAGACGTTTTTGGTAAATAGCATTGAGATATTGAAAGATGTGATGAGTTACATCAGCACTTGAATATTTTATTTGAATAGATTCAAAATTAGCGATTATTGAAATACTTGAAGTTTAATTTAATGAATAGATGGATTGCATACAACGAGACGTGATAAGCAGCACTTCTTAAATCATCGGTGATGTGATAGTTCATTATCCATCGTATTTCTTTCTCTCCCTCTCCCCCTCTCTCTAGTATAAATTGAATTATTCAATCTTATTATTCCACATAAACGTCACATCACCGATAATTTATCATCATACTCATAAATTGCATTATTATAAATTCTATGATAGTGAAACTATCAAATTTAGGGGCTGTCTGTTCTAGATTTTCCACGGATTAAAATCACAAAAAGGAACGTTAGTGGGGCCCGCCTGAGAGAAAGGAAGTCAATTGTTGCGGCTGAACGATTTGATTTGTGCTGAAAATCCTTGCAAACAGTTTCACCAGACAGCCCCTTAATAGAGTAATGTTATTTAGCACTATTGATGTTTCACACACATTCATTTAGCATCATTTGTGACATTAAATTAGACGTTTAATTAATTATAAGAATTTGTGGTCTATTTAATAAAGCATATGATTACACCTAAACAGAGTTTCAACACCACTATTCAATTTAATAATAACACTACAACTTTTTTCTTATATAAAGAAAGACAGTCGTATGAAATTGTCAAATTTCTTCTTTGACTACTATTTCTGACCTAAGCTCCGAAATTATTCCACACGTGTTAATTTTTAAAATATTTTGATGGGAGAAGCATTCCAAAAAGATAAGAGGAAATACATTCATTTAGCCAAGAAGAGGTGTGAAATGGGGCGGAGTAAGCAGCTCGGCTCATCTAAACAAGTTGAGGTTTTCTCGTCCTTTGGTGGGACAAATCGAGTCAGATCGCAAGACATTTTGCACATTTGAACTAAAATGCACGCTTGAGACGAGTTGTTCCCAAGAATGACTTGTTGCTCGGTTCGCGCTCATAGCTCATTGCAGCGGGAGCTTTAGCCGAGCTGGAAAGTGGCTCGTCCCACTCAACACCCCTAATCATGTTCGTTCAAATGAGATTGTTCTCCTTGTTTAATAATATTTTAAATGCTTATAAGCTGTAGATTTTATTACGTGGATTGTAAGTTATAAGGCCACCAAAATCTGTGGATAAAAAATATATTTGACATATTTAAATTATAATTTATGTTTTGACAAATATAAACCAAAAAAATAAAATTGTCAACTAATAAACTCGTGTTTGGATCATGTTTATAAGTTGTTTATAAACACTAACGTCGCTTTTACTTCATATATTTTGAGAGATACACTACTATTATTCACTTATTTATTACTTAACTATTTATTATTTAAATCGTCTATAAATACTTCCCAAACACGTTACAAAGTCATTCAACTTAATTTAATTATGTATTAACCTCTCGATTAAGAATAATTCCTGGTGTACAGAAATTAGTTTCACAGAGGCCTTACAGACCCCTTCACTGTTGCGCAGGCCCCACCCAAAATGTATTTTAAAAAAATATGTGTGGACCCCTCCTTGTGTCTAACCTGACCCTGTAATGCAAGCTCTCCTCCTCAATTAAAGGTGAAATAAGTGAATAACATGAGATTAAGGAATCACATGCCCACGTGCCAGAGCAGTTTAGTCGGTGCATCGTTTCGCATAAACAAAAGATTAGCGCACAAATTGCGGGGCGCAGTATCATTTTCGCACTGTGAACGTATTTCCATTATTCCTCGTTAAATTATAATTTATTTTTTCTTTCTTTTTATTAATTATTTCATTAAAATAATGTTACACGTAAATTAAAAAAAATCTTAATCACACATTCTCCAAAAAATTATTACTCTCATTATAACGGGGAATAATGGGGAGCCAAACTAGCGCTTAGGACAACTTTAGTATATATATATATTTTTAAAAAAATTAAATGTAAATTTTTAGAGAATGTGTGGTTGAAAAGTAAAAAAAAAATTATAAATTTACGCGCAAAATTATTTTATTGAAATAATGTATTATTAACATTGAATTTGAGAAAAATAAAATTTGTAAAGCTTGTAACAAATAGGGACACATTTTTTACATACATATTGCAGTCAATTTAAAATTATTCCTTCTCAAGATATAATTTTCATTATATTTCTTTGTAGACTAAGCTCTTGTTTGATGTAGCTTAAAAAATTGATAACTATTTAAGTTAAAATTAACAATTAATTTTAACCGACATTTCATGAGATCCACGATTTTTAATCTATACTTCATCAATTATTATCAAAATCTACTGAAAATCTGAATCTTAACTACACTGAACATGAGCTAAATTTCCAGTCATTGAAGACAGTGTAATTGTTACCTATTTTTTTCGCGCTTGAAAGATATCACATTTTTAGGTTATTTATTTGTGTGGTCTAAAGTATAATGTTTGAATTAAATATTTCATTAATAAAAGTTTCTTATTGTCAATAGAAATATAATTAGATTAATATTTGATTTTTACTTCAAATTATAGGGACAAATTATTAATCTTTTCCATGTCAATCAAACACATTTTAGTCTCTTGTTCTTATGGATACAAAGGGTGAATTGAAACACGTGTCTACACAACAATTTTTGAAACGTGTAGGCCCATCGTCATATTAACCCAAATACCCGGCCCATCTTCATAATAACCCAAAAGTGGAATACTCGTTAAGCCCCTGATTGGTGTAGCTAAAAATCGATTCTTTAATAAATTTTAATAAAAATTGACGAAACATATAGCTGAAATTTTGATAAAAGTTATTTAATCTATCAAATACGTGAAAATTAATTTATCGATTTTGACATAAATTTTTATCTACTTTTTAAGCCACACCAAATTGGGACTGTTGACTTGTTCATTCTTAGAGTACCAGTCATATCTATCCCCATCCTAATCCCTTAATGTCGACCACCTCCACCATCATGGATTTCTGATGTCCGTTGCTTACATCCGACACACTTAATATAGTATTCGAAATAGACATTAGAAACGATTTAGAAAATTAACTGTTGTTTGAGTATACTTTTTATTGAAATTTAGACAAAATTTATAAAATTGTTTGCGACATTGAGCCAAATAATTCTAACACATCACTTTACACGTTTCTTGTCAATATCAAATATTAATTTCAATAAACATGTCCAGATTTCATGAAATTCGCAATTTCTCTTTTGTACGAGTTACTTATTAGTATAAATGCTACAAATAATTTATAAACATTAGTCAAATATGTATTAATAAGAGTCTGTTTTTCATTAGTCAAATATAGATAATTTAATTTTCACGACAATAATCAATACCATTTGAAGATAGAATAGTGGGAATTTCCGACAATGAAGACTGAGGTTCGATTTTCACAAGCTCAAGCTCGATCTCTATCTCCATTTCCATCTCCCATTGTAATTAAAATAATAAATAAATAAGTTGCCGTAAGTATTTTACTATTTTAACCCTTATGAAATGGGGAAGGAAAATTCAAAATAGCCACGGGCAACCGGGTTTCCCAAGACCCGGTTGAATTGAATTTCCCCGGTCCGCAATCAAATTATTTCGCCCGATAATAATTACAATTGATTTCGCAACTTGGGGGGAGCATTTCTTACTATTTTCACTTAAATCATCACTCCTGTTCTTGATCCTTCTTTACTCTGCAAAACCCGAATTCTCGAGAGCAGAGAAAGAAGATTGCTTGCATGTAAACGTATGTATAGATATACAGATATATATCTCACTGCCCCCCAAAGGGATCTCTAGTTTCATGATTGGTAGATTCTGTCTTGACAGCTGTAACTCTTGAATTCACCTTTCAAATCCGCATTGCGCAAGGTTGGTTTTTTTTATTTTTTATCCCTTTTTTATCCTTTTGAAGGGGAATTTTATGCCTTACATCTGAGTCGCTGTTTGGAGTCTGTGTTTCGCAATCTTTCTGTTCCTTTTTTTTTTTTTGGGGTTTAAAAATATGAATTATGTGAAACATCCCATGAAATTTGTTGCGCTGTCACTTTTATATCCTCCACTTTACCTAACGAGTATTTTGCTTGCCATCCTATAATAGTTCCATTTGCTTTTCCACATTAGTATTCGTACTGTAGTTTCTGAAATTTTCAATTATATGTTGGATCTAAAGTTCTGTTCCGTTTTAATTAATTCTAGTAGTTTCTAATGGTTTTCAGATTTTGGGTAGTCTTGAAGACAAGCAAAAGAGTTGAATTAAGCAAGCCCATCTGATATTTTTGCT